GAGGTGGGACGGGGGGGGGGGGGGAGGGAAGATGTGTGCGGAAAACCATGAAAAATGGCTTCCCCCCCCCATCCTGGTGAGGTCTTCGTTTGGGAGTCCTCCCGACCTGAGCTCAGTTGGCTGTGACTGACCGCCAAGCCCAACTTCTGCTTCCCTTCACGGGCAGGGACGGGGAGAAAGCTGAGCCAGCTGCCAGCAACCCCGGACTCCCACTGGGAGCCACAGAACCCAGACAGTTGCGGTCAGCCAGTCCAAATCACAGTCAGAAGGGGCCAGACAGGCCTTCCAGTGCCGCCTCCTGGTCCGTGCAGGACCGGCCTTGAGGTCTGGGGATGTTCCCCTCGGCAACTGGCAGATTTCTCCTCCTGCAGCCTGGATCTCAGGGCGTCTGGGGAGGGCGCGGGCAAAGGAAAGGCGGAAAGGATGCAAGGGTCGGTGAAATGCCCGTGTGGCAACAGGCGGGGGCACGACTTACGTCCAGGAGGAACTCCACCAGGGTGTCGGCTGAAAACTCCCCATCGTACTCGATGACCTCATCCTCCTTGAAGACGTACACGCTGTCTTCCTCCGTCAGCCCTGCGCGAGGGAAGGAGGCCGCAGCCTGAGTGGCCGGCAGAAGCTCCCCCTGCGGAAGTCCTGCCTGCACCCCAGAGCTTCTGCTGAACGGCCCCCACAACTGAGCTCCGTCCTGCAAGCTCCGTGGGGTGGGGGCCTGTCTGGGAAGCCCGCACAGGCCTGGCCTGGCAAAGGCACCCTCTGGAGGCAGCCTGTCCCGAGTCTCCTGCTGGTTTGCCGGCCGGCTCAGTCCTGTGGAGGGGGCAGTCTGCCACCTTGTCGGCCCCTCCCAGCGCTTTACCTCCCCCACGGCACGGGCTTTTCTGCCCACCGGCCGAGGTGCTGGCCCGTTTCTGCAAGGGCAACACGTTGCACCCCCCCCCTGCAGCAACCCCCCTCCCCCGGATGCGCCAGCCCCACAGGGTACCTAGTTTTTTGGCAACAGCAGCATCCTTCTCCGAGTCCACCAGGCCAAAGCCCACCCCTTTATCTTCCAGGACTTGGGCTGCTAACTAGGAAGAAGAGGCAGACAGAGACAAGAGAGAGAGAGAGAGGGACAGAGAGAGAGAGAGAATGCAGATGTTTCAGAGAGCTTCGTTGCGGGGGGGGGGAGGGGGCACAGCAGCAGCCAAAGGCCTTGGCCCCCCCCCCAGGACTGGCAGGGGGGGAGGGGGGGGGTTGAAACAC